AAAGAAGAATTACACTCGGACATTGTTTGGAGATGTTTTTATAGGAATTCAAATATGTAGTGATATTATTTGTGACCTAAACAGCAAACAATATGCAAATTTCGTTTTTGTTGGGACTCTATATTGGGTTTTTCAATTTGGTATATTTTTTATTACAGTTGTAATGATATCCTTAATCTAGAGCTACTGAACAGCGATAACAGACAGACGTCAAATCCACACTTTATTGCCATTAACTCCTTAACAGTGTATCGTCGAAACACGGGAAACGCAGAGTTCTTGTTAACGAAAATACGGAATTCGAGCCCCACGTTGAGCGCCAATCTGTAGGAGTACAGTTTGACAGTTTAGTTAAATTTTCATTGACAATGTCAAAGTCTAGAAATATAATTTTCACTCGAAGAAGAGCGAGTTACACACTTATTTCATGTGAAAATAAAATATTTAATTACTTATTCTTTGACATTGTTGACAAAATTTCGATTAAGTAATAGTTGTACGTTTTGTTTTCAAAGATTAAAATTTTCAGTTTTTCGGCGGTATATTCAAGATATGTGAAATTTCTCTTCAGCAAGTAATTCGTCATTTAAATTTCGCCCTAATCCAACTTGTATCTCTTAAGATAACTGTGATATTAATGGTGCAGATATAAAAAGGACACCTTGTATATCTAGCCCTAATTAATTTTATGAAAACGAAAAAGGAATATGTGCATAGACATTCGTAGTGATAATTATGGCAATGTGCAATAATTTTTTATTTATAAGCCTATTTTTGCTGGTACACATAATCTCTGAAAAGTAATTAAATTAAATATGTATTATTATGTGTTTTTAATGGATATATATATATATATATCTCTTCTGGATCCTTTTAATTATACCTATATTATTTTATATTTAAAGTAATAAAAAATGTTATAGTGGAAATATTGCAATTAAGAACATCTCATATTTTTATATAATTTATAAGACCAATAAAAAGTTAATTTTTCCTTTTGTAAATAATTAAACTTTTGTGTCAGTAGCAATGACAACTAAGACAACATACTTTGTACCCACACATCTCATTCGTGAACTACCGTAGAACCTATTATAGGAATCGTTTATGATAAAATGTTAGTCTTGTTTTTTAATCTTGAGGAGCAATCACTCCTTAACGTTTGTCACAAAGCTCTGTAACACCCTGTGTAATGTGAAGAAACATAAATTTGCATGATAATATCCGTACGTTTCTTCTATTTTTTCACTTTAATGACAATTGAATAATTCGAGATGGAGATAAACAAAATGGAAAATGATGTATCTTTTATATTCAGATTTTGCATTTGCTGTACCTGGAAGAAGTAGAGGGATGTCATTAACGCCGTCCTAAAGTGACCCGTCTTTGATAGATGCTTCAAGAAATACATTGTTGAAACACTGGAATCTCCATAACTGGAACCGCAATCATTATTAATATCGCCAAGAACCAAAGTGGCGTCCCATTATCCGCTTTTTATTTTGACGTTCGGTGTTGCTTTTTTTTTCGCCTGAACTATCGTGCTAAACTTGAGGTTTAAACGCTTTATTGGCCGAATTAGTTACGGAGTGAACTTTATTGCCATCTTAGCTATTTTTGCTGTGTCGTTGCCGGTTATTTATTTCCCAGCGTCAAGCAGCGAGGATTCGGAGACATCTGGCGAATCTCTGGCAGAGATGGAAGTACGCAAAATGAGGTGCAGTAGCCTTGGTTAGGACCGGGGGGGAGGGTGATGTAATATGATTATTTGGGTTTGGAAGAGACAGCTGAGTGTCCCGACATCGTCGGAGGGCAGGCGAGCGAGATGCCGGCTCAAAGGCAGCGGCGGAACAGAAGGGGATGAGATTAGATTTAAATTAGTTCGAATTTCACGTCATTTTTACTAATAGTTAAATTTTTAATTCATTTTTTTCTACACTTATTTGTTTATAAAAGTATTAAAACACTAAATTGGTTGCAAAAAAATTTTATTTGATGATGAAGTTGGCATACATGCAGCCACAAGTATTTATGATAAAAATAGATTTAATCATATAATTTTTCAAAAATGAATCTACAAAAATCGAACAGAGATCAACAAACTTTATGTAAAAACTAAATCTAAATTGTGTTTCTAGTCAAAGAACTTATTCGGGAACAGTACACATTTAACAATTCATTATTAAAAAAAAGTAGTGACAAAAAATCATTTCTAAACTATCATATTAAAGAGAAGAATCGAAATAACAATAAAAACACAATATAAGAGTTGGTATAAATAAATTTAAAAAAACTTGCTTTGTTTGCAATGTGTATTTGATAAAAACGGTGCGTGTTTTCCATAACGAATGTTATATGACTGATAGCTTAATGAAACTTTTTACGTAGGTATTGTAAATATCTTTATGTGACTACGACAAACTATATTTTCGCATTGCAATGAGAAATCGGTTAGTGGGTTTTTTAGAATGCAAGCCTTATTTGAGTACCAAGGTTTTTCACTGTGATAGTTCTTGTTATGGTTTCTGTCATATCAAAAACTATCATAAACACTATCACCGTGTAACTTGAAATATTGTCATAACATCGACCGTGATACAATGATAGTGTGCATGCTCAGCTGTCTCTACAATTAATTCAGTGTTAGCCATACTATTGACAACTGTCACAAAATAGGTCATAGTCATATCATGACGGTACTATCGAGGCATACGTGTATTATTTCAGTGTAAATGGGGCTTTATGTGCGGCATCATACATTTTTCTAAAAACGATTTTATGTAAGTAAAAAATGACTATCAAAAATGGAAAAATTTGATTGAAAAACTGTTTCATATTAAAATAGTAACTGTTTTATTATTGACCAAATGCATGATATGGCCTTGAAAAAAAATTGTGCACCAAAAAAGAGAATAATTCCTAAGTATTCAATGTCATAGGTAGTAATAGCGTTAGTTATCTGTTTCAGATAATTTTGTTCAGTGTTCATGGCATACCTACTATTATTAGAAGAATTTCTCTGCAAAATAATTACTGTTTATCAAATAGGTAGTTAGTTTCTTGTGTGGTAAATAATACAATTTGAGTACATTTCTTTTTGTTCAAAACAGTATGTTTATGGTATTACATTATTTATTTAAATATGCCTTAAGATGCTTGTGATAGATTGATGATACTTAGGCTAATAACTTATAATTATGAGCAGAAATTTTGTACAGTTGGTACACAAATCTGGTAACCAATGGCGGATATAGATAAAACATCGTTACCAACAACCCTAAAATTTTCAACTAAAGAAAATTAGTTTTATTTAAAAAACGGGCTAATTCTTTAATTTAAAATAAGTCTACTTCTTACTTGAAGAAAACAAATATAACTCACAAAAAAAAATATAGGAATTTTTTCTTGGAAATCCAAGAAAAATCATTAATTAGTGTAGGATTTTTTAATAACCCCCCAAAAAATTTAGAATCGTTTTATCAACGATTTTTTAACTTCTGATGGTTTCATTGACATTGCATTTAAAAACTATTGTTGCAGACTAATTTTTTATTTAGGTAAAATAAATAAGGAATGGCTTATATTCCGAACATAATAAAAAAATATATTTGGTGGAAATACCTATCGGAATTAAATACACTTGTCTAATTTCCAAAACATTCAGTAGCGTCGAAATTGTAGGGTTCTTAGTAACGATACTTTTCAATATCTCTGTCACTGATTTGTGTACCAACACAGCAAATTTTTATTCATAACTAGTTAAAAGTATTAGTCCAAGTTTCATGAATCTACAAAAAGCATCCTGAGATATTTAAACAAACGTGAATTGTAATAAATTTTGAAATTTCAACATCCTGTATCTCGAAAATGAAGTGTTTTTGGACACATGTTTATAGAAACTTTTGTAGGTGATTTATGACATACATCCATTTTGGCAGGGAATATCACTAACAGCAAAAAGTGGAATTAAAAAATTTGTTAAGATATTGCGTATTTTATCCCTTTTAATGTCTTCCTGTTGCGCTGCGAGATTACGGTATTGTGCTTTGGTTATTTCACCAATACGCCAATACTGTCATAAATCCGATTCCAGTTTTTCTTCGACTGAACACATTTCATAATATGATAATGAATCAGTTTGTGAAATCTTATTATAACAATAAATAGATCAAATTGTTGTCTCAAAATAAACCTGCCGACGGATTTTGCAAATTTGTTCTTCCACCAAGCAGATTGGACGCATTTGAGCTAATTGTTGCAGTTGGAATAGTTTTTTTCTAGCTTTACCGTGTTTTCACGTAAATTTTTTTTTAATTAGGGATTTTTACTATTTTTGTTTTATTATTCCTTCTCGGTTTTCTGGTAATAACAATGGAAGACCAGTCTTTCAAAATATGCGACACTTTTCGACATCTGCGAGCCTGAAAATCACCTAGAAAGGGGCAAACCCAGGAGAACCACCTTACACTAAGGTCAGTCCGATGGAAAAAATACTATTTTCGAGTCAGCCTTGCCGTTCGAACGCGAGTTCCACCGCGGATCGGCTGTTTTCGCGGCTTCGACTGCGTCACGCCGACCTACTAACCCCATTCGAAAACCTCGCGGCACGGCTACGTCGACTTTGCCATTGAGTCGCCGGTCGCCAAACGGAGAGCACGTTAGAGTGTCGCGCCTCTTCGTTCCTCCACTGCTTCTTAGCTTGCCTCTTTTTATCAAGCAGCCTTTGGACGACGGTGTCGCTGCCCGGCAGCGTTCGTTCCGCGAGCCCCTCAACGCAGAAGGAATTGAGGGTGCCGTGATCCAAAAAACAAAAAAGTTAAAAGAATATGAAACATTCGACGAATAGTTGGAAACTTGTGTGTCTGTGGTGCCACTACTGCTGTGATCATTAGGAGCTGTGTGGATTACAAGTTTTAGTGAATTGTTGTTATAGTGCTTGTAAAAAAATGTGCGTTGAGTTACACCAACTGTTTAATCTAGTCAGGATTTAACAATTAATAATGTTGGAACATAGTGCTATGTACCTTAACGTTACACCACCCTACGAGGAAGACGCATCGTTCTTTCCGGATTTCTACACCACACGGTGGGTTTCCGATTTTGATGTCTGTGTGTTGTGTGTGTGGTCTTTCAGAGAGTTTGTTGTTTCTTTATTAGTTAGTCACTGGAACCTTGCCAGTTCTCTATAAACCAAAGGATTTTACACACAGGCCGTCTTTTGTTGCTAGACGAAACTCGTTTCTCGGGACTGCTGCTGTTGACGATTAAAAACACAATCTTCATGATTCGATACGCAAACGCTTCAACTATTATTCTAAATGCCACACTTAGTTCACACCGTAATTGTTCTTTTATTGTGTGATCGACCACGCCATTCCTTTTCCATTGGAAATGTTAACGCAAACCGATCGTAACCAATAAGTGATTGATGAAATTTTTGGCTCGCCGAGCGACCATTCTATTTTTCGGAAACGTATCGGCCGCTACCAAAAAACTGTTCGCCCAGGTCGCATATTTATAGAGAGATTTATAAAAAGATGATCTTCGGTCTGTTGTTAAATTCTAGTAGGTCAATAACTTGCTTCATTTAAGTGAGGTGGGGAGCGGAGGACAGGCTATTGAATCATAGGTAATATGCGTATTATGTGCCTAACCATAATAAGTAATGTTTCAAGATTTTCGTTTGCCGTATTGTTTCAGGACCGCGTTGTGGGAAGTTCATTGCATTTGTGTTAAGCCGAATGCTGAAAAAACTATTTAGAAAACGTTGTTTCCACTTTTGTTCTCAAAATGAAGCATTGGAGGAGTTGAATATTTTATTAAGTACATTAAATTGAATTAAATTTATTAACATGCTGTAAAATGAAACTACTTCTCATGATTTATGGACATTGCTGGATTCTATTCAATATAGGTCCAAAACTTAAAGAAAGTAGAAAACTTTAGCCACTCGTGTTTATTTTTTTGTTACATTTGCGGTTACATTGTAACCGCTAGTTTTCTGTGAATTTTCCGGTGTATCACAGTGATGTCACAAAGTAATATCTCTGTCAATTCCAAAATATAAAAAGAAGAATTGCTTTGATTTTTCAGAAATATACCTACATGAAAAATAAAGTGACATTATACACCCTGGTAATAAACGCTAATAATAAAGTGTTTAGGAGGGGCAGAGAGTTTTTTTGTTAGCATTTTTTATGTCATATCATTTGGTTAAGAATGTGATACATTTGCTTGTGTCTTATGTATGGTGTAGTGCATGTCGAGATATTCATTTATACATTTTATACTGTATACATTTAGAGTGCTTCTACTGAAAAGTGCATTTTTTCGCCTCCATTGAGGAAATATTGTCCTAAATAAACATCGGAAAAAAAATTCTTGCCAATTTCAACTTTTAATTTTAATTTTCAGTACTCGCTATTTGATTTTAAAATTTTCCTATCCATTTAACACGTAAACCTACATTTTTTAAAATTATCGATATTTTAACAAAGATTCCGCTATAAGTATTGCCTATGGACAATAAAATAACGTGAAATACAGCTCAGATATAGATAATTTTTAAAAAAATGTACGTTTACGTGACATACGAATAGAAAAATTTTAAAATCAAATAGCGAGTACTAAAAATTAAACTGAAGAGGTGAACTTTGGTGAGAATTTTATTTTCAATGTTTAGAACAATATTTCGTCAACGGAGCGGAAGAAATGTACGTTTCAAACGAAGCACCTAGTATACATACAAGTTAAAATTAAAGTTAAATATTCTCTAAAACATACAACAAAAAATTCAGTCATTCTGAATTTGGTATGAAGGTTTAATAAAAGGAGCTGTTCATTATTGCATCCTTGTTAGCTTTGGAACACTATATTGTGTTACAAAGTAGCTCGTGCGTTGTTTTTAAAAGTGTTTAATATAAAATGATGTCAAGAGATTATAGAACAATAATATACTACTTACTCATTTTTAAATACTTAAGTCCATTTCTTTTGTGCAATAGATAGCTCTCGGATAGGTAATTTATGAACTCGTTTTCAACTGATAAAAGATAGCCGCTATATAGGTACATACCTATAATAAAATTACGGGAAGATGGAAATAAAATATTGATTACAAGAATTATACAGAATATTATACCGTCGCAAAATAATATTAATAGTTTCATAGTAGCCCTGTTCTATCTGTATTACTATTTTACCAAATGTTACTAGTATTTTAAACATTATTGTGTTTCCTATCACAATTAATCTCAATAAAGCAAAAAATGCGGGCTATGTTGTGGCCTCGATTGTAGTATATAAAACCTGGAATAATAAAATTATATAGGAAGATTATCCTAACTTAAGGATTACCAGAATAACATTTAAAGTTATTTCCTTACTGGATAGATAAAAAATGTTCGTCGGTTTGCTGCGTATTTGAACAATTATTTAAACATTTTACAATGATTATATTAAAAAATGAAGTGAGTATAAAATACGTTTCCGGAGGTTCCTCGCTTGATGGCTGCCTGCGAGAAATTTTAGACGTATATAATTTAAGAGATAGGAATCGCCAAGGCTATCTTGATTTATTTCAAATTTGTATTAAAAGATGATTCAGCACTAAGTAAAACGTATATACAGGTACACGCTTTATTGCATTCCACCACACTGAGAATATTACGTTTTCATTGGGTTATTGGGTAGACGAGTTTCTAGGTACGAATTATCTTGTGGCATTACAATGTCAAAGTCCAATAAAGAAGGTCGGTGAGTCTTCTCGGAGGTGTGCGAGGAAACCATAAACTATAATTCAAATTTGTTTCTCCACGAAATACGTTGAGCTGCTTTACCATTCACAAATATTTGAAAATACTAATATATGACCTGTCAGTACCCACCTGTCTATCAATAGAACGAATTCCCTGAAAAGACAATAACCTTTCACTTGAACTGTAGATTCTTTGGCCTTAACGAGCATAATTACGTATTTATGTGTTTTTTATTACGCGCCTATTACCCCTTCAAGGTATATTGAATATAAACTACAAAACGTGGAGTGGTAATTTCAGGGTAGGGGTTCGGAGAACAAAAGTTTTTTGTGCGGATCAGGTTACCACCTGTTTACAGTTCGTACTGTATATCCCGTGTTCAGGTAGCTAGAAAACAATTTAATAAATAGGTTTAGCTTGTTTCAGAATATTTATGCGGTTAATGGTACATATGTACCATTAACCGCATTGTACTACACTGAAAAAAGATTTTATTAAAATACACCATTATATCACAGTTGACTTGTTGACTATAATTTAAATATAACATCGAGTACACTAAGTAATTTAGTGTTCAAGCTTGATTAATTGAGAAATACTGAGTACCTAATATTTGAGGTAAAAATTTAGGTATTAAAGAAATTATGTGCGCACGCATGCGTGTTCCCCCTTCACCCCGCTCTCTATTACTTGAGTAGTACTTGAGTAATTAATTATGAAAGTGAGTATTTTAGTGCCCAAATTTTGGCCAAGGGTTTTCCTATCGATATTTTCGTAATATACAGAGCGCCCCAGAATACGTGGGCAATCTCTCAGATTTATGCAGGGGACGTTAAAATAACATGACAAGTCCCTATAAAAATTTTCCCTAGAGGTCTACCCTACGAAGATATAGGCCTCCTAAAGGACGCCCCTGATAATCGTTTTTTTTTTAATACATAACTTTTAACATTACTCTGTGTAATTTAATTATTTATTGGAAAAAAAACAAAAGTAAATGAAAGTGGCATTTTTTAGATAGGCTGAGAAAAAATGCAAATTTCATCGGTTTATTTAATACATAACTTTTAACATTACTCTGTGTAATTTAATTATTTATTAATACAGATAAAACTCCTTAAAAATTGACCCATGAAAATATTTGGCTTATTTGGTTTGCCAGGGACGGACTATGGCTGTAGCGCTTAATGCCATTTTTTATACCTTTTATGACAAAGGCACAAAAATAATATTTTTAGATAGCTTGAACCTTAAAGTAAAAAAAAGATACTCTTGGTTGGTTGATTCGATAAAGTGAACAGTTTTCGAGAAAAAACTATTTCTATTTAATATGATTTTTATTACATACTGATGAAATTTGAATTCTTTCTTTATCTATCTAAAAAAATGCCACTTTTATTTACATTTTTTCCTAAAAATAATTAAATTACACAAAGTATTTTAAAAATTAATAAAACAAATCGATTTTCACAAAAAATAATTACACCAGCGTATTTGGCATCCTTAAATACCAAATTTTATAAAAATATTTCGTAAAAATTCTATTTAAAAAATTTTATTTTGTCGCTCTGTATATCGAAAACAAAAAAGAGAGACATATAGTTAATAAGACAAAAAATTCTTATTTTTTGTTGTACTATCACCCCTGTATTTACGGGAGGTCTTTCTGAAACACCCTGTATAATTACAGCTGTGATAATTTTCTGCACAAACTGGAGTACACAAAAATATAGTTTTATAAAGCATTTCTTCGTGCAGATGTAATAATTATCTAGGTACTAGTAAAATTCGAATCGTTTATTATTGATATGAATTATAAAAGTCCATGTAAGTTTGCTTATTAAAATATATGATATTTTATTATGGATAGGAAATAATTTTCAAAATGTTGCCAGAAATCGATTTTTTTTTGCCACGCTCCAAAGTGGACAGGATCAATGTTAATCTCAGGAATCTGCTTAAGCTGTATCCTATTCTTGAAACACCCTGTATAAATGAGTCTCACTGGCTGCCACAACATAGGAATTTCTTAAGTCATAAAAGAGGGTTTACTGTTTTATTATAGTTGTCAAGACATTATTACCAACCTAACAAATTCCTTTGAAAACATATCATGATATACCGATGAAATAAATTCACTTTAAGAACTGCTTTAATTGTATTAGTAAATACAGTGTAGCTAATGCATAGTTCTGCGAAAATTAGAGAAAGTAGATACAAAACGATTAGTTTTCAATATGAAAATTGTTAACATGGAGTTTAAAAACGAAATTTCGAATTATCTTTAAGTACTTGTTTCTCCGGACATGAAACTAGGGTAGCGGGCAAC